GCCTCTACCCGGTAGTCACTTCCTCTTGGCCAGACAATTGGAAAATGCCTTAGCTCGGCGGCCGCGCGCCGGCGGTCGGAAGGGCTGGCGGCCGCGGGGGCAGCCCGCGGCGTTTCCACCACGCGCCGCGGCGACTCGCGCCACCGAGTGCACACGATAGCAAAATACGCCTACGGGTCCAAGTGAAGTCCCTAAAAGCAGTGGCGCTCGGCGTGAGGCCGGTATCCGCTCTGAGAACAGCGGCACGTCGATGCTGCCGGCCCCGGGAATACCCCAGGGTCCCTGCGGAGCTGCCGGGAAAACGCCCGCCTTGCCCGCAGTCACCACCGCGTCCTGCTGGAGATCCAGCACGTCTTCTCCACGCCTAGAGTAGAGACAGGGGTGGCCCTAAATGCCTGCGCGCGCTAACGGCTGATGAACGGCCTTTCCCTAAGGACCCTAGTGGAATAGTCTGTCTTCAGCCTGGGAACTTGTCCCGGCGGAGTCGCTGGTCGGGGGAAGACGTCTGCAGCAATGCTTAAAATCACACGTAGAGCAAGGGATGGGATTGGCAGCTTTGTCAGAGAGTTTCCACGTAGCTCCTGCTTTTAGTTAAACTTTCGTCCCAGGTTCGATTTTGGACAAGACGTCAACCTAATCCCAGCTTTGTAAGCGCAGCTTTGTGTAGTGGATGTCTGCAACTAGTCTGGGCTGGTTTGGGGACGCTGCTCTGATTTTTCTTGTAAAAGCCATGGCCGTTCAAGAGTATCTGAACCCTTTCTGCACCCGTGGGCGCATCCCCTTAACCATGCGTGTCCCTGTGCTTCGCAGGTGGGATTCATCGACTACATCGTGCACCCGCTGTGGGAGACGTGGGCGGACCTGGTGCAGCCCGACGCGCAGGACATCCTGGACACTCTGGAAGACAACCGGAACTGGTACCAGAGCATGATACCTCAGAGCCCCTCGCCGCCGCTGGAGGAGCGCGGCCGGGACTGCCAGAGCCTCATGGAGAAGTTCCAGTTCGAACTGACCCTCGAGGAAGAAGATTCGGATGGGCCGGAGAGGGAAGGCGAGAGTATCGGCTATTTCAGCAATACCACGACCCTCCGCGTGGCCGACCCGGCGGAAGAAGAGCCTCAGAGGGAGGCTAACATAGAAATCGTGACAGAGGACACGTCCCCTGCCGACACATAATGTACTGTCCCCGTGTAAGCGGATTTCAAACACTTAATGAGCATGCAAGCAGTCTCGTAGGACTAGCCTGCAGCCTGGGTCTTAGGCCTGTGTCTGACACTGGCTGAAAGATCTCCCCAGCTACTTGAGATTGGAGTCAGGGTTCAAGATCGCGTAGTGAGCGATTGCTCAGGAACTTAGCAGATGATTTACCTTGTGGTTTAAGCCTTGTCCGCGAAAAGCTTGGTGGTGTTCTGGAGCTGGCTTGGCTTGATACCGAACAGTACACGACACACAACTGAGAGATTTTATACCGTTAGGTTTGGGAATTTATACCAGTTAGACTGATAGAAACTACTGATTAATAACTCTGCGTATGAAACCTGTCCACCCGACCACCTGTCTGCAGACCTGTGTGCCTTCTTTGTAAACACTTTCATGTCTTTTCAAGAGTCTATTAAGTACACGGAGTTTAGTATAAAAAGCAACACAAAGTGTTTCCAAATTGATGGATACTTTTCTGATTCTTCCTGTTAAAAGAAGCAGTCTTCCTTTTTTTCATGGGCAATACCTGTCACTTTATTGCAGTTAATCCCTTTTGCAGACCGAATAGAAGGGATCCCCCCCTGTTTTGCGTTCCCGCACCTTGGATAGCCTTCTCAGTCCTCCAGCCAACCCGTTTCAAATCACTTCATGCCTTTGTGCATCTCCTCCGTTTGCTTGCTGGAAATAACAGTATTTTCTCCTCAACGGGGCTTTATTTTTGTTGTGCACCGGATAAAGGGTAGTTCTGTTTTCATGGCACAATGCAGTACAAGTATCAGTAAGCGTAATAAGGCAGTGTGTGACGCGCGGTCCCCCGCAGCAGCTCCTTCGCTCAGTGGAAGTTGCACGCTCGGATATTTGTGTTTCTCCCGCCTGTCGTTCCCCTTCCCTAGGTTTAGGTCCACCGTCCTTCTCCTGCACTGCCGTGAGCTCTAACACCTCCATTACTGTTTATAACAGTGTATTTATTACGTAATGTACATACTGTAATGTTTTGTAAGTTATTAATTTATATGAATTAACATTGCCTGTCAGCGGTGGTGTTAATAGTGTCGAAGACTCGGAATAAGAGTTGCCTTTTTTTCTTGTAACCTTTTTTGTATTGCATCAACTAAAAGAACCTGAACATAGCGGAGGAGACATACGGACCCCGGGCAGGGCGTTCGGGTGCGCTCGCGAGTTGCCGAACACCCCAATGTGAATTCCTATGGCGAAAATGTGAACCGATGTAATCGTTGTGCTGTGAAACTGCTGCTGCCAGAGCTTGTTGGGCATCGGTGGTGGTGTCGCTCTCACTTTGTAAAATACGTTTCGAGCTTTCGGTCCAGCTTGTGACTCGGTAGTTAATGAGACTAGCACAGTTGTGCATGACCAGTGGGTTTGTATGTCTGTTGAACGCTGCGTTGTTCCAGGTGGTTATTTTATCGTTTCCAACAGTTTCACACCATGTATGTTATAGTATTCTATATTGTGTTCAGATGCATTCTTAAGAGATTTTTATATGAAGTGAATAAATGAAAGCATGACCCTGCCTGAGGCTCTGCTGGCTCCCGCGTTCGGGAAGGGCTGCGTTGGGGGCGCGCCGCAGCCGGACCC